GTTGCAAAGATGTAATAGGGGTCAAAGATCATGTTGCAAAGATGTATATGCATCAGTGCAAGACATGAACAAAAAAAAGGGCCCATCATGCAGCTTATGTTTTTCCCTGTACAGTGAGCAAACCAAATATGCAGTCATGCATGTAGGCACCTGTGCACCACAAGCAACCACATTCATATTAAGCTGAAGTTTATGTGCTAAACTGTATGCTTTCTCCTTGCTGAAGTAGCATCTTAATCCGATTCTTTCCTGCATTCTGTGGATAGTTCCCAGATTAAGCCACAAGAAATGGAGCCTTTTTTAACTGATATAAAAACATTGTTTTGATACTTTTTGACAAGAACTCACCAGCAACATGAATTCCACTTCCTCAGTTGTAAGCTTTCACTTTATTAAATTCCCACATGTAAATCTCACAATAAGATATTGAAGTGCCACGTATGCATGTCATCTAATTTCATTAATTGTCAGAAATTGGCACCTAAAAGTGTTATGCATATCTTATATGCACCTATTAATTAAATCTATGGAGCCTACAGGTTATCTAAATTCTAAAAAGATCATGGAAGTGTATCCATGGTGCGGCTATTCTTTTTACCCTAGAAACAAGATCTCTGTTAATTTATCTCCATAGATGACCTTGTTATGCATATCTTATATGCACCTATTAATTAAATCTATGGAGACTACAGGTTATCTAAATTCTAAAAAGATCATGAAAGTGTATCCATGGTGCGGCTATTCTTTTTACCCTAGAAACAAGATCTCTGTTAAAAAGGGAAACTCTAGTTTTTTTTCCAAAGAAAAAAACAAGAAATGATCTAGCACATGATCGAGATCAGGAAGCATTTAAATGAGGCATACCAACATAGTAACATATACCTGTAAATTTTTAGGCACTGCTGTTGCTTTCCTGCTTGAACCATTTGTTGAGCCAAGTCGTGCAGTAAAGGCAAAATTCTTGGAGGAATGAGAGTTGCAGGCTTGTATACAGCAGCCTCTGAGCTTTTTGTTTGATTATCTGATTGATTGGTAGATGATGGACTTTTACCGCCATCCTCACCCGATGGACGAAGTGCGTTGGGAAGGCAATCAAAAAGATGATCAGGCTCCACAGGTTTGCTGAAACAAAAGAGAGAAACTAGTGAATATAGTACATAATTGCAATCTACTATAACTCTATAAGTAAATCACGTGTCCATACAATCAAAATACGTAGGTCATGTTCACAAATAACCAAAAAAGTAGATTTGCCAACAAGACATAGGAACATAAAGCTATGGTTAATACTAAAAAATGTTTGTAGGTTCCCAAGACCCAATCATGTTTTAGCCCACATGCACAAATGATTTAACAAGCGATAAATTCAAAACGCATATTGAACTTTTATCATCCTGATAGGTGGAAAGAATGTGAACAAAATGCATAATGTGGTTACAGTAAATAGAAGTAGCAACTAAGCTAACAAATGAGAATATGAAATACTAGCACTATGTAAAAAACCATGTACATATATGGAGGAATAAGATAATAACTGCATGTACAAACCTATAAGATGCAAGAAGCTGTTTAAATTCCTCCTCCAGCTTCAACATTGCCTTAATTAGCAAATTATTGGCATGATTAAGCACCCCATCACTGCTCTTGAAGCTCTTATTCGAGTTGAAAAATCGTACATTGGCCCTCAATTGCTCAATTGCCTCCAAATAGCTTTCTAGGTCCTCATGTGGGCCCTTCAAAATCTTAGACTCAGCCTACGCATTTGAAACACATGCAAAATCAAAATCTCCAAATTCGTCACCAAAATAAACCTAACCGAATATCAAACCACCATCGAGAACATGAATTTTAGACATAAACTCATGTTCACAGTCCAAGTATGATTCATGTTTCATTCTCTACTCGAAATCTTTCTCTCAAGTGTAATTCCTCTCTAAATCATTCCTAAATGAAAAAAGATGCAAAATTTTCCACTAAGAAGGCCGCTATTCATCAAAATCGTTCCAGTACAGAACTCTATCTCAAAATAAATAAATAAACAACAATCGAACAACCAATGACAATGCGGTACACAAATTCTGAAAATAAGATAAAAATCGCAAAGATCGAGCATCCCTCTACAGGTCAAAAAGCAAAAGATTAAAAAAAGCCATCCCACTCGCATTTTACAACTAAATTTTTACGCAAAACTTCTCCCAAAAACTCGAAAAATAGTAAAAAGCTCCAAAATTTCAACAAAAAAACGCACATTCTCATTCAAATCCAAAACTCAAAATTTACCAACCTGACGCGTGAGATCAAATTGGCCTAATATGACCTCAGCCGACTTCAACGTCTTACCAATGTTCTCATGCGCCCTCCGAATCGCGTGCGTCCGAACCTGAACCAAAACAAACCAAGACCAGAACCCTAACAAATCAAACAACCGAACCAAACCGAACCAAGACTAGAATTTAGAGATCCGAGACCTGAGTAGGTCTCATTGCGGCCTCGAGAACGGAGAGGCGGTGGTCGAAGGATCCGAGGATGGCGACGGTGCTGTCGGTGATCGTCTGGCTCTTGCTGAGAGACTCTCGCAGCAGGCTCGCCCTCTCCTTTAGGGTTTCCATTGGGAGAGGAACTCCCATTTTCGCCAAGAGAATTGTTTTCCTTTTGCGTCGCTTCTTGATCTCGAAGGGGACGAGGAGTTGACGACAAGACGGTGGTCGGTAGGGATTGAAGTCTAAATGAAGTTTTCTGACCCTAGTAGACTATTAATTAAGTAAGAATTTTTCACATTAGACCATCATTATTTATAGTATAATATGTAACCCCAATGGTTTGAAGTTATAACTAATTTAGACCCCAAACCTATTAATTTGTTTTAAATAAGCCCATCTGGCTCGACTTAACGATGGCTAGTCAAGTTTTTACTGTTATTTAAAATAACTTTGTGGATGGGGTTAAAAAGTAGAAATTTGATTTAAAGATCTAATATAAAATTAGGAAAGGATTTGGTATTTAATTTTAATATGAAAAAAAAAATCGTGGTAGTCTTTCAGGATTACATTGAGTTGTTTAGTTAACTAGATATCCTGTCGAATCTTCAATAATTGTTATAATCGAGTAAAATCTTTAATTTTTATCAGATATCTTTCAAAATAATCGAAATACCTTTTTCCTGTGTCTTTAATTTTCTGAGTCATTTTGAGCGTCATCCGCAAAAAAAAGTGTTATTTATAAAATGTTGGGGTGTTTATAAAGTAGGGTTCAGAGACTAAATTCCGTCGAAGCTTAACTGAATTATGCCGACGCTGTTGACTCCTATTAAGAGTAAATGAATTTGGTCCCAAGATTACAACGTTGCCTTGTGGGCCCCCAGATGGTTCCAGTTCATGTGACTTATGCTAGCTTTCATCGGTCTTACGCAAGTAATGGGCCCCAAAGATTAGAAAGCTTATCCGTTTTTTATTAAAGCCTGCTTATCTCCGATTCCGGCTTAATTCAGTCGCAGATAGAGTTCAATTTGAGCTGGGCGAAGTTTAGGAGGAGGTTCCCCCACTCTTTCTGATACTAGGCTTCTTTCTGATACTAGGCTAAGAGCTACATATTTTGAATATACAAAGGTTAAATGTTACATATTTTGAATATACAAATGTTAAATGTTACATATTTTAAATACAGAAAGGTTAAATGTGCATGTGTTATATACACAAAATTTAAATTAATAAGACTGTAGCTATAAAAAGTTTTGTGTGTAACTTTTACAAATGTGGTCAACATATTGAGGGAAGATGTTTTCAAATCTAGACAAGTTCCAAAATTTTAAATCGTTACATTTTTATGATAAACTTAGGCCAGAATAAATTGCATATAATTCTCCTCATTTATATTTCCAATTGCACGTAAAACCTCCTCAGATCTTTTATTAGCACTTAGCACTACTTTTCCAATTTAATTTTAAATATCTGTTACTAAATATATACCTTAAAGAAAAATATTTCTCTTTAAACCTCCCAGAGCTTGTGACGTTAGCTTTTCTCTTCTCAAATTTGTTTTACATGTGTACATGTATCTTAACCGTTCATCTATCTCAATTTGTCACCTAAGTCATCTAAACCAATCTCAGTTGTTTATCCAAAAATCAAGCTTAACCGCTCACCAAAAAGATACATACAGTTCAAAATAGATAAATGTGTAAATAAACGTGTAAATCTATAGTAAGTACAGGATCTTATCGTATCATATTATTTATGAAACAAACTTTGCTTGCCTTATTTTTCAGTTACTAAAAATCATATATTTTTTTAATTAAAAAAACAGAGTGATAGGATATTTTATGTAAGTTTTGAGTCATATCTAGAAGTTATATAATAATAACATAATCAAATCAAATCAATCAACATATTGATCACATGGCTATTACTAATATTACTAATCTGAATTGTCAAATATGCCTAATTTATAAGCAACCATAATTTGAATTGATTTGAATTTCAAATTTGAGAGGGGGACATATATATTAGATATATTCTCACTAATTACCTAAAAATTCTTAGGGGGTGTTTGTTTCAAATCCTATAATTTTAGGATATGGATTTCATCATGGAATTTGAAATCCATAGGTTTTTAACATGAGTTGGGATTTCTAAAACTTTGTTGTTTCATCAATATTTTGGGATTTGGAATACTATAATTTGTAAGTTCTTGTTTGTTTCAAACTCAAATTGTAGCATTACAAAGTTTAGAATTTGAAATCCATAGTTATAGCAAATAAGTTTTAGGATTACCAAAATAGTAATTGGTGAATATAAGAACTTTTGGTGAGCTTACCTCCTACAAAAAAAATATAATTTTTACTCAAGCCTCTCAAGTTTTTATTTAAGCTTTCCATTTCTTTTACTAGTTTTTGTAAATACTAGATGAACTAGAATTAAGATAAGAAATTTTTACTTGCATTGCTTCGCCAGAATTACTGCAATTTGTGCTTAACTTTCCAAAATTTACTCTTTTTAAATAAATCCAGCAAAAAAAGTTGACTAACAATATTATCCAAAGAACAGGAAGGGGGGAAATCAAAATTTAACTGCAACCTACTTATTTTCCCTATCTGTCCACAATCATTTGTTATCAAATAAAACGACCAACATTACTTATATAAACATATACATAAATGAGACATATCATTACTTACTTTATATACACAAGAAAAAAAAACCTTGTTGGGGTTTTTTTGGTAAGTAAGCAATTTAACTTATTACCAAACATCAATGAAGTTCAAACAAATTATACACTCAACGTTTGGATCCTTACAAGCCAAAGATCAAACACACCAATACTATAACAGACTCGGATTTGATTCCTACCAATACATGCAAGGATCAAAATACACCAACTATAACAAATATATCATAAGTGACATACACAAACAATACTCAGCAGGTAAATAAAAAACCTACACTGGCAATTGATAAACCTATACAATCCTCTAACCATTCCAGACTCTATAGCTAACTCAACAATATAGAATTCCTGATCAATACTTAGTCATAAATTCTGGAGAAATCTTCATATCTTTACACCATGCTCTATTATAGGCATTATCTTTCATCTTCACAATTGTTGATGCTTATGAACAAACAGTCGATGGGGGTTTCCCGCTGTCGGATGTAGTTTCGATCCTGGCGACGGTGGGGAAGAAGGAGATGATGAATGTTAGGGCCGACTCCTCCTCCGACTTTATGCCCGATACTGAGCGCGCGGGGTGGACTGATAGCCTGCACATTACAAGAATCGCAGGAATACGGGACTAGTTTCCCCCATGGTACCTCCGACGGTCAAGTCAGTTGGTGAACTTGGGGAGGGTTTTTGAGAGGCCCCTGGGCCATTGAGGTTCTTGCAGGGGGTTTTTCCTCGAGAGTTATTAAAATGCTCTCGATGTAAAAAAATATCCTAAAGGGGAGTAAAGCTCAAGTGTAAGAAGAAGCAGAGAGCCAACCTCCTGCTCTTACCTTCCTTACCTCCTTTTATAGCCCCCCGCCTCTGGGAGTTTGACCCTCTGCTTTTGTTGACTACGCACAGGATGCAGTTTGAAAGGTGAACAGGCAGGCTACTGAGTCATCTTTCTCCTTCCAGGTGTCGGCAGGCGACTGGAAGGGAAGTCATTCAGTGTTAGGGAAGAAATATCTTCTCAGTATCCTGGGTTTGTCAGAAGACGCAGGGTATAGGATAGGTCGGCTGTGTGGCCGTCCTTCTCTCTCCAGGTGATGGCTGGCGATTGGAGGGAAGTCATTCGTGCATAGAGAAACATCATGGCAATTTTCTGGGAAATGATTTGTAAGCCGAATAAGCGGCTGGGGCACGAGGGTTGTCAGAATAGAGATCTTGATGGGACTAATCAGTATTGTTGTGTTGATTGACATCTAAAATGATATTGGTCGGCTCTTATCCCTTTGACCGAGGCGGGTTGATCTGTGAGCCATCATTATGATTTGGTGACCTGATAGTCGAGTGGGCTTCGGGTCGGGTGTATAGTCGAGTCGTTTGCTCGAGGAGTCATCTTAATTGCGAGGGGGCGACTGATCCCGCACTTCGAGTTGGTCATGATGACATGTTGATCGAAATATGGGTTGTCTGCTCGTCTAGTCGAGGGACTTGGCTCTGACTGGGCTTTTGAGCCTCTAAGTTGATTGGGACCATGGCTCTCTTGGGCTTATACATGCATTCTCCCGATACTTCTATTTTAGTATGGTGACTGACCATAACAGTTGGCCCCTTTCAGTCGGAGCTAACTTTGGTCGGGTCCGAGTGAAATAGGAATGGGTTTGCTCATTATATTTGAGATTTTCTAGCCAGTTGATCGTGGCTTAGAAACGAGGCGCGGGATGCGCTTAACCACCAATCTTTAGTAGACTGATGCTGTCGGTTTTGGAAACCGGATTTTTAGAGAAGACGAGGCGTCATGGGTAGAATAAATGGAGCCTCTTTTGCGAATTTATTAATGTGAATTACGAGCGACGGTTGATGTTTTGAGCGATCCGTTCCGATTCTCAAAGTGAATCTTCCTTGGTTGCTCTAAGGTCGTGCCTTTTAGGCTCTGCATGCTTCTTTAGAAGCTTATAAATAGTTTCCGATGCTGTTGAAAGAGTACTCTATCTCAAGAACATTTCTCTTCGTAGGTTCTTTCATTTCTTCCTAAGAGATTTTGTCATGGCCTTTCCTCTGAATGACCGCGAGATGAAGCTCAGGGTCCTTTATCTGTATAGGTCGAAGACGACATTAGACGAGGCAAACTGGTTACATGATGAATATGACATCTCTCATGTGACATTGACCATAGGGGCACCGGACAGCCTAACTCCGGTGCATATGCACGACGGAGATCGAGTGCCTCTTTATCTGGCGCATCTGCAGTGTGACCTACGCCTACCACTGCATCCCTTCGTTAGGAAGGTTTTTGTGGCTCTTGGGGTTTCCCCCTGCCAATTCCACCCGCACGCAATCTGCACTTTGATAGCGTTTATAGACGTCTGTTCTGAGGCAGATGTGGTGCCTAGCATTAGCTTGTTGGGGCACGTGGTCAGCGTGGGGTCCACTGAGGGGGACCTCCACTATTTTTCTGCTATCGTAGTGATTTTTGCTTGGATGCCGACCTCCCAGAGCTGAAAGAAGAATGGAAGAGGCTCTTCGTCTGGGTCTTCTCGGGTTGGCTTGAGGTGCAGGAGAATGTACTAGAGCGAATGGCT